CGGACCATATGCATGGTCGGCGAGTGTCCTAACCGCTATGCCACCGACGCACATTTAGTACCACACATAAATCTTATTTCACTTGGAAAAAACTCTTATTTTTCTCAAAAACAAGGCATAGTCAATCAGTTAAAGTCTACCCATTCCATACAAATGGAAACAAATCGGATACAGAATATCTTGGGCAAGTTGTGTGTGTGTGTGTGTGTGTGAAATTCATTACCAATCAGTAGACAGTATTTTGATCTCAGTGATTCATCTTTATTTTTCACTCTTCTTATCGTAAATCAATACACTAAAAAACAAGGGAACAATTACCTACTTTGCACAATCTCTAAAAACCTCCAAGGGTTTGAACAATCATTAAACATTGTCGTCATCAGATAGTGTCAGTCAGTTTAATGCTCTAATCGCTACAAAGCTCTAATAGAACAAGCCTTCTTCTTTTAACTTTGTGAAGAAATAGCAAACTTTATCGATAAGCGACTTCGAGCAACAAAAAGGTTCAGATTTTGGGTTTTGTAAGAATATGAATTATTAATTTCACTGCGGAGTTTGTCACGAATCAACATCAATTAGTGAACTATTGGAAACCAGGGAGCATTCAACAGTTAGTTTCAGACTTTTCAACAATGCGAGCTCAAAACCTCACACACGAAATCGAAACTATCACATTCATGTTATATGAGGTTAAGCTTGTTGATCAATATATGTCTACTAACAACCAATGTCATGGATGAGCATTCATCCGGCACGACTTCTCATCCAATTTCTGATGGGATCATTGGTGAGCACTGTTGAAGAGTCCCAAAGCGAAGACAAAACAAATATCCAATACAACTTTGATTTCCCATGACTCTCTAACTGATATCCATTCGTGACAAAAATCTACATTGAGATTGAAAAAGGCAACTTGAAAGTCAAATTAACCAATGAAAATCTCAGTAACTGTATTTCGCCTCTTTTTGTTTGTTCAACACAAAAACAATCAATACAAAGTAATACATTTCAGGAAAACGGTCAGTTCACACACGCACACACACAGACTAGTAAAATTACGTCAGTTCATTGATATTTGTATGTCTTGCTGAAATTCGGAGGTGCATAACTCAAAGACTGAAATGAAATTGAGTAAACCGATGAGATCAAGAAAATATAATCGATAATAATAATAATAATAAGGAAAGTATAAACAATAATAAACAAATGGTTCGAGTTGCTTGACTGCCTGTCTGGTTTACTTCACTTTTATTGTTACCACCATTAAAGTCCGGACACCTTGAGACACACACACACACACATCCACACGTTAGACAACAATTAAGCAGAAAAATAATTTGTCTAGTCTTCAGACTTGGGGGGGGCAAGAAATAATAGCAACAACAATGTAATTGCTGGGGTACTTGAGAGGCGTAAAGGCAATGAGAACAGGATAATTTCTTCTTATTTTGTTTTTGTAAAAATAAAGCTGTTGACTACTTATTTTACAAAACTGGTGCGAAAAAGTGAGTAGTATAGAAGTTTTAAGAGAAAATTTGTCCAGCAAAATGGTTTCCAATGAAACCGATGGAGTAAAAAATTGTACGAAAAATAGACGATAAATTTGATGGTAGTTGTGTATCTAGGTGACTGGTGGTCAATATGAAGTGAAACCATTTTAGAGGAGAAGAATGAAAGCAATGATACTTGATTGATTTTAAACGTCTCCCAGGTGTTTTCACTTTGTTCTAAACAACAAACCTGTTATGACAGAAAAAGTTACCCCCCCCCCCTACAAGCCTAGATAACATGACAGAACAATTATCAAGTGTTGCGTTGTAAGAATTTGAATGCGGAAACATGACTTCGACAAGGATCTAAACCTAGAACCTTCAGGTTACAAGAAGAGCAGGTTGTCGTTCAATCACTGGGACGGAGTCCAATGACCTATAAATTCTAACTTCTGTCAACTAATTAAAATTCTAGGTGTACTCTGCTACAGATAGTCCCCAGGAACTAGGAAGAAAGAGCCATTCAGTGCCTTTTACTTTCCAAGGACTCTCTAAGTGAAGTCAACTCTTGAAAAGATGCACCATAGTCAGTCCTATTCGACTAGTTGTTCGTAAAGTAGATTCATTTAGATTTTGACAAGTGAATAGTTACATTCTTCAGCACTAGATAACAAACTAAAACATCTCTATTCAAGTGTTGGTTTGTAGGGATTTGATTGGTTACAGGATTTTCATCATGAGCTGACATTAGTTAGAGAACCATTGGAAAACCTGGGAGTACTGGACAACCGCTTCGTCCCAGTTTGGGACTCTTCATTAGTACGCACCCACCGGGATTCGAAACCAGGACCTTCTGGTTACAAGGCGAGCTCGTATACCATTAAGCCACTGGGACCCGATCCAATGGTCCATGAATTCTAACTTCTGCCAATTCACGACATAGCGCGGCCCCTAGCCAATGTCTTCGGCGAGTATTTGTCCTCACACCCGACCTGCTGCACCCTACTGGTCACGACTTCCCACTAGAACCCCAGGCAACTACCTACCTGAATAGAGCTCGCCTTGTAACCAGGAGGTCCTGGGTTTGAATCCCGGTGGGTGCGTACTGCTGAAGAGTCCCAAACTAGGACGAAACAGCTGTCCAGTACTCTCAGGTTTTCCAATGGTTCTCTAACTAATGTCAGCTCATGATGAAAATCCTGTAGAACATCTCTAAATTTCATTTTAAACTCAGTCAGTATTCCTATCGAATAATTACGGTAGTATGTAATGAAATCTATAACAATTTGAAGGATGATGTATTCGGAGAGGGTGTGTGTGCGTGTGTGAATACCATCCAAATGATTTTTATCACATTGAAAATTAAAATGTACACATATACCGTCATAATTTGTTGTTCACCTCCAGTGTTAATTAATGATTCCACATATATGGATGACACCAGAAACAAAACACTCTTAAATTGTCTTTTCGACGAAGTCATCAACTAGGCTGTACATTCGTGTATTTGTAGTAAATGTGTGAGTAAGCTTTAATTCACGTGGTGAAAACTGAGTTGTTGTCCATCAGCTACCTAATTATTGTTGTGTTTGCCTTGGAAAAAATTGGAGACGTTAAATTCATGTTTTTTTTCAGTCGATTTAAAAGTAATTTCGGTTACAGTTTGACATTAATATTAGAAAACCAATGAAAGCTGAAGGGCAATGGACAGGTGTTTTACCCTAGTTGGAGCTACAGCTAGGGGACACACTATGCAAGCCAAATCATCGCCTACCTCATCGAACAATGTTACATAACCTCTCTCTCTCCACCTACCTACATTACTTTTTAGAATTTTAACCCTCTCCCACCCACCCTGTTGTGTGGTTGTGTGTTAATGCGTGAAGTGCAATTGCTGAGCTTTTTTCTAAATAATTAACCTCCTCGGGGTCAACCATTCTTACCTTAGCTAAATTCTTATGTTCTGACAATCTGACTACCCCCGAACTACTAGTTTGACCTATGTAGTTGACCTCACTAACATTCATTGCAAGGTATTTTGTAAATTATATTATTTTGCTTGATTGGGTTCACCTAGTCTTTTAGCCTACAGAGCTTGTCTCTGAGTGAGTTTGTAGGTTTGAATGCCACTCTAATTCCTTCTTTATTGAGAATCCTACGTAGGGAGTGTTTCAGATGTCCCCTCCTTATATGGTATAACAGTAGATGTCTTATATTCTCTCTCATTTATGTTATCATTGCTAATTTCACAATTATTTTTATTTTGCTTTTGGCCTTTTGTGATCTTCCTAATGAATTTTATAGGATAGTTATCTGATACCAACGCTTCTCGAGGTCATCGAGACGCTAAGAACCACCAATAGCTTGAAAATGTTTGTGATATACCTCAAAATCGTTCTCAGTGGCGTAGATACACTCACTCTTTGTAATCCCTTAGATCCACTAAGTCCTCATGTTTCTTCATGGAATTATTCCTTCTCTCGTACATTTATGCTGACTAATATTTCTTCTCATTTTTTTAAAATTTTTCTCTACCTTTTTGTACTATATGGAGTGTAGCAATTTGATACACTTCTTTGTAAAGTCCTATACGCTGAAACTCAATTAGTAAGTGAGTTAGTCCTTTGTTTGAGGTTTTCTCACAGTGTCTGATAATTCAGCGAATATCTCATTGACGTCACAGAGATAATGTAAAAGCCAATGCGTCGGTGGCTTAGCGGTTAGGACGCTCGCCGACCATGCATATGGTACGGGGTTCGATCCTCAGCCAACGCACTCCTTTACCTCGCTGAGCCAGAAATAATGCTGGTGAAGAGGAAAGGTTGGACATGAAGCTAGCAACCCCATCCTGTAAAATAAACACTGCTACAGAAACTTCAAGCCTCTAGCTTGAAGCCCTATGTTCCACTGGGAACGTGTAGGAATAAAAATGATTACCAGATAAATGTTTTATGTTATAGTTGAAATACTGTCAAAAGGCGAATCCGCCAAACTTTAAATCATTAATCATTTTCTGTTCTACTTTTTTAAAACTAAGTAAGTGTCAATAGAATTACCCCTAACTCAGAAAAAGTATTTCGAGTATTGTATAAGTTAATTTACAGAGATCAACAGGGAGACGGAGAGAGACAGGATAAGCATTTCATTTCGATATAAACAATCAAAGGGAAATGAAAATTAACCAAAAGACAAATAACAACTGACACCCTATTGGCACAAGAGGTGGATTTCAAAGCCTAATGGATAACGCCTTGGCGTTTGAAACAATGAGTGCTGAGTTCGAATTCCAATGGGAACACCACCACCACCGCCACCACCGATCACTCAATTTAGCGGCGGCATGAGAGGGTGGAATGAGTTGAATGCAGGCACATTCAAGTGGTGTGTTAAGATCAAACACTCATCCCCGAATTCCACTGCTAATCACCCTCAGCTAAAATAACATGCTAAAAAGAAAAACTTCAAGAATCATTTCAGTACTGAAAAAACAGATTTTAATTTAAAACTCACTTTCCACGTTGCTTCGTTCTGTCGAAAATAGGCAAATTCTCTTTGTAGCCAAACATAAATAGCACTTAATGATAATTGTTGACCTGGTGATTCTAATATTGCTTGACGTATTAGAGTAGCATATGTAAATCTTGGACGTGCACAATGTGATCGATAATACTGTCTTTGAGTTAATGATGTATTCGTTGTAGTACTAGTAGTATTAGTCGACGATGTTGATGTTGTAGTAGTAACAACAGCTGTTGTAATTGTTGGTGAACATACTGATACTGATGATGACGTGGATGACGGTAATGCTGTTGTTACTAATGTTGTATTGCTAATTGATCCTGTTATTGAAGATGGAATTATTGTTATCGCTGTTGTTATTGTTCCTGTTGAGCCTCCTCCTCCTGCTCCAACTGCTGCTAATGATGTTGATGATGATGATGACGTCGACGAAGAAGAAGATAATCCACCGACTGAAGGTAGTGAGGAAGAATAATGAGAATTGTCACAGGTTCTTGAAGTGTCAGTATCCATAGCTTCTGGTAAATTGCAATGAACTTTATAAGAAAAGAAACAAAGAGAATAAAAACCACACTTTAAACGATATAGACAAAGAAGACATCGGTAGTTTAATGGCAGAGTGCTCACCAACCAGTCAAGTCAAGGAGATGGAAGTTCCATTCCCAGCGGATGAACTCCTAAACTTCACATAACCGGTGGTAAGCTCGGAAAAGGGTAGAAGTTGACTGCGAGACAGATAAAAAGGCGATGTCTGACGGCTTTTGTTAGTGAAGTCGCATCAATACTACTAGCAGCAATGGTGGCATTAGTAATGCTTCCGTCCATAAAAAGAGGGAGCCTCTGAAACTTCTACTTAGAATTCTTTAAAAGACAGGATTAAAAAGCAGCACTCAAACCCGAAGACTCATTCAAAGACAACAACTGCATTCACTCAGTGGTAGTGAAGACCAGATGGCTTGCCAAAAAGGATTTATCACAGGGAACTTTAGCAAATAGTAAACCAACCAAAAACTAATCATCCGGAAAATATGCTGAAGGAAACTGAGATGAATTGGACACATGATGGGTTTCAGTATCACTCATAGACACTTCAAGTGAAACCCCGATGGGAAACAACCAGTTGGGCGTAGGTCCGCGGGTAATCAGGTGGAGATCGTATGAAGAATGGATAAAAGCTTATGGGTAACTGTGACAACTACAGAAAACAGGATGAAATGGAAATGTGTTGTTGAAGCCTTATCTTCCACACGGAATCCAAGGTAATAATAATAATAATAATAATAATAATAATAATAATAATAATAGGTCGTTAATTCAATAAACCAACCCATCTCCACACTAATTGAATATTTTTGATTGGACGCTAGTTAGTAACTAGTGTAATGTGTCTAGTCCTATCTTTAGTACAGACTGAATTCTATCAGTCATGTTTGCAATGTGGTCACCATGCTAGGTGGCTCGTCATCACGGAACTCATGGCCCTTCAGAGTTGCAGATACGCCTTGCTGACAACTGGTGAGTGCCAACCTAGGTCCAAGGCTTCCTGACAATCACCTCCAAACATCTGATATCAACAACTCAAAGTGGGCCGTGGTAGCGAGCCACCTAGAGTGGTGGCCACATTGCAAACTTGACTGATAGAATTCAGTCTGCACTAAAGATAGGACTAGACACATTATACTAAATCCTGACTAGTGTCCAGTCAAAAAATATCTAATACAGTCCTACAGGAGGTCAATCACCAGCCCGAATAGCTGTTCAGTGTTAACGTCTTTGACTGACTGCAGCACTGGGTGATGTCGGTTCGAATCTCAGACAGGGGACATGATTTCCTTCAAGGCAGTTGTAGATACTCCTTGCTGACAACTGATGAATGCCAACTAGCACGAAACCTAGGTGGAAGACTTCCTCCTGCTGATTGCCCCCAACCATCTAATACCAACACTGATTGAATGTTAGGGGAAGTTATTATTATTGTTATTGTTTTGACTCATTGGCTCAAGCTATCACTTGTCAATAAACTGTTTACACACACACAACTAAATATAATCATGATAGCAATACTGTCTAGACAAAAAAAATCTAACTGGTAAACAGAATTATATATATATATATATATTGACGTTAGCAAACATCAAGTTATGTTTCCCACTTGTGTGTTTACGACAAAAACAACAATGATAACAAAGACGACAAAGGATGGGAAAAAAACAAACCACAATGGATAATGATGACGTTGGAGATGATGATGATGATGAAGAAGAAAGAGGATGGAGACGAAAACAACAACAACAATAAAGTTAAGTCTGTAAACAGACAGCCTGTTTAACAATGCGTAAATAAATATTAACTGTTTATTTCAAATACATACATACATACATAGATGTTGAAAGCAAATTTTCGTCTTACGCATACAGAAAGTATGTATATCTATATATGATTGTGAATAACTTGTGTTAGAGAGAAATGAATAAATTCAAGTGGGACTTTTTTATTTCCTTCACGTTCCCCAGTGGAACACAGGGCTTCAACCTAGTGACTTGAAGTTTCTGTAGCAGTGTTTGTTTTATTTTACAGGATGGGGTTGCTAGCCTCATGCCCAACCTTTCCTCTTCACCAGCATTATTTCTGGCTTAGCGAGATAAAGGAGTGCTTCGGAGATCGAACCCCGGACCATGTGCATGGTCGGCAAGCGTCCTAACCACTCCGCCACCGACGCACAAGTGGGACTTGGTTTTAACTAAAAAGCCAACAAATGACAACTGGAACGTCTCTCATCCTTGCTTGAAACTATCAAGCAGCATAAATGGAAGAAAGAGAGAGAGAGAGTTTGCTGAAATTAACGAAACATTGTTGTGTGTTAGGAGACATCATAAAGACAAAATCCGAAGACAGTTGGTAACAGGAATCAACTAAATTCTTGCCAGACTCTAACACACGGAAAATTAATCTAATATGCTCAGCAGGGACTGACTACAGGATTAAGTTGATTAAAGTTTTAGTGAGAATTCGACCCCATAGTGGTTCGCCATAATGGATGTGAAGACAAATTACTCACCAATGACAATACATCATTACAAATCGACAAAAGTTAGAATTCATAAGGTAGGCCATTGGATTCGTCCCAATAGCTCAATGGGCATCAGGCTGACCTCGTAAACTGAAGACCCTAGATTTGATCGCTAGTCAATGAGGCTATGAATGCATGCTGATGAAAAGTGTTAAACAAGGATGAAACAGCCGTCCAGTACTCTTCCGTTTTCAGTGGTTTTCTCACTAATATCAATTCAAGATGAGATTTAACCTGAATATTTGGCAATGGCACGCTTAAAACTTGGGCTGCCAAATATCTCCATCATTATATTGCATATAGTTTCTGTTGTTCACTTTTTTTTAACTAATTAAAATATGATCACTAATGGTGTTATTTACTCTCGCGAGTATTTAAAACAATGTTTACAACCTACTGGTTGGCTAATTTCTACTAAACTTGAGAAAAAGTACAATCGAGGGTGGTTTCCAAGTTATGCCTTTGGAAATGTACTTCAAAATGTACTCCTGAACTTTTTATAATTAGCTATCAACTAAATGTCGTGCACTTCTCGAAGAAGACAAAGAAGAAAGACCAGAATGGATTGTTTTGTTCTTTAGGTCAGACAGCATTGTCACTCGATCTACTGTCAACTAATAATTTGTTTGAAGATGGTGAACGAAGAGGAAATATCATGCAGTAGACTTTGCTGCACATTATATAAACACCGTCCAGAATGAAGCTATCATTATTATTGCTATTAAGATTATTATTATTATTACATTTATTTTTGAAGTATGCTACCAGTGAATTAGAAAAAGATGAAATATCGACTGAAAGACACTAACTATCCACGAAGGAATATGCATCATTAGTTCAGGGGTTAGAATGCCCGCCAGCTACGCTAAATATGCACCGCCGGGGTTTGATTCTTAGCCAACGCGCTCCTAAATCCCATCTAACGCGGAAAAGAAGGTGGATTAGGCCTGAGTGAGACTAGTCATGCTACCCCGTAAAATACGCCAATACAAGCTCATAGCTTGGAGTCCTATGTTCTCCTCGGAGAGCAAAAGGAACAAATGAACAAGTGATCGGTGAAGGAATAAAAAGTTGTAGGGGTAATGAGAGATGGGTATTAACTTCGTCTTCTATTAAATAAACATCTTTGGTAATAGTCTATTCATCAGAAACACTTTGTCATATTACACAACTCATCATTACTTAAAATTAATCATTATTTTGATCGAAACAAGTAAGGTTAGGTAATTTATGTGAGTCGTGTAGTGTATGCGCGCATTACACTTGATTGCACTTGTCATATATACTTACACTGACAAAAATAAAGTCGTGAATTGGCGGAAGTTAGAATTCACGGACCATTGGATTAGATCGAAGTTACTTAGTGGTCTACGACCTCACCTTGTAACAAGAAAGTGCTGGGTTCGAACCCTGGTAGCGGAGTGGGTGTGTAATGATGAAGAGTCCCAAACTAGGACGAAACAGCTATCCAGTACTCCCAAGTTTTCCAACGGTTCCCTAACCGATGTCAGCTCATGATGAAATCCTCTAACCAATCAAAAATAAAGTCGTTATTAAATGAGAGGGACAGAAAGGAGAAAGGGTAGATTGAAGGTCAAAATTTAGAATAACAATGATCATAAATGAAGACTGAATTAATCAAAACAAAAAGAGACTTAATGTGGGAACAAAACGTTTGTTAAAAACACACACACATCAAGGTGGCTTAAACTTCTTGATCGTTAAGGTTTCTACAATCTTTGGGGTATAAGCCTAAACAGGAAGCACAAATTACTTTAACAGGCAACAGCTGATATCCGTTACAGAAGGAGAGGAGCTATTGTTGCCCAGAAGATAATATCTCAGTATTTGAAATGAGGGGTAATGGCTTTGAGTCTTAACAGGGACACTGTCACTCACTGCAGATACAGGTACACTCAACTGTTGAGCACCAAATAAGACGGAAGGAATTTCTTGAATTCAACCTTAAGCCACTATAAACCAAATAAGGGAATCAATTGAATCAATGTTTCCTTTCCTTCCTTGCGTTTTGAGTGGAAGATAGGACTTCAAGCATTTTTCTGTGTTTAAGTAGGCGTACAGTAGCTAACTTCATGCCCAACCTCCCCTCCTTTCCAGGCTCTCTACCGGTTAGTATAAAACTAGACGACTTGTAAGAGTGTATCAGTAGGAAATACAACCCAAAGCTCTCGGTCGTAGCTGGTGAGCATTCCATCATCAGTGAATCACTGATGAACGTATCAAATTTTAAGTCAAGATTATAAAATTGTTTTAAATTCCCTTTAACACTTGCTAATCTTACAGCTTAGAGTTTTTAGGACACAGTGTGGGGTCGCTGGTGAGTAGTGCTGAAGAAACAGTCAATCAGTGCTTTATTATTTTCAATAATTTTTCAACTGATATTAGTCTAGTAACGTCGCTCAACAATGGAGCTAATGAAAATCACCACAAAACTTTGAAAAATCTGAATATAAGATAATAGCTATCATTATGGCGATACGGAAAACACATCACAGCACCCACGGCACTGGGCACATATACATTTATGGAAGAAAATCTTTGACATTTGAAGCTGTACAACTTGTGGTTAATGAAAATGCCGAAAAAAAATTGTCAAAAATTGTGTTTTCCCCCTAGTTAAATTTATTTCAGTTGCACTTGGCATTTTTCCTGTATGTTTCCTATTATTAATATTATTATTCATCTAGTGTCTAATGTAAGGGAATCAGATTCAGATATTCCATTTTTCTTACAATTATACTGTTCATGGATGATACACATACACACTGCTGCTACAAAAATCTCTCCCCGCCCACCTCTTAACGTAATCAATTCACTTTATTTCCCCATTAATTCTCTTTTCTACTTTAGTATTGTTGTGATATAGTGCACGCTCGCCAACCAAGCACGTGGTCACCGGTTCAACTCCCAGCCGACGCACTAGCAAACCTCGCTAAGCTGGTGGTAGGGCCGGTAAAGAAGGAAGGTTGGATGTGAGAACAGAAACCCTACCCCTTAAGAAAAAATAGAACTGCTGCTACCGAAACTTCTGAAGCCCTATGTTCCGCTAGGGAACGTAAAGGAATAAAAAAAAATTGTTGTGATATAAATGAATCGGTTTGACTTTCATACAGTGCTGCATATTTGCTCTGTCCATCTGATTGATACATACACTACCGTCAGTGGCGATAAAATCTAGAGACATCATTATCATCATCATCTACAATGTTATTTTAAAGAGCTTAGAGTTAGAATAAGACAGCTGACTAGACCTATATATGGCATTCAATAGTTAAAGCTTACTCTTCTTCATGAATAATAATTATGACAATTATTCTGCTTTCTTCGCGTTCCAGACGGGAATACAGGCCTTCAAGCTTTAAGCTTTTCAAAGCTTCAATATCAGTGGTGTTATTTTTAGGAGGTACTAGCCGCCTCATGCCCAACCTTCCTTGTTTTTCAGCCTTACTATTGTGTCTAAGTAAGGTGTAGAAGTGAGTCGGGCAGGAATCGATTCTCCAGGCACTCTACAATTAAAACTCTGACGTCAGATGGCTGGAGGCAATCAGCAGGAAGCCTTCCACCAAGGTGTCATGCTAGCTGGAACTCGTCATAAGGCGTATCTGCAACTGCCCTGAAGGAATTCATGTCCTCTGTCTGAGATTCGAACCCACATCACCCAGTGCTGCAGTCACAATGACCCGACGACTTAAACAGGCTGGGACTTAAGTTTCTGCAGGTCCTAACATGTCAGAAACGTCGTTTGGATAGTGGTTAGGGTGAAAGTAATTACCATCATAGTGTAAGTAATTCACACTATATTGGGGTCAATGGGAGAAGTCGCATCGCACTGCAAGATGTAAGAGCAGTAACGTGTTTCCCTTAGATGGCTAGCAAGTCATCCATATCGCTCCTCCATTCTGGAGAAGTGGGTTTAGAAAAGTTTGACCCCAAAATTTGTACATCCCGATTTACCTTGTGACAGTCCGTAGTCGATGGTGTAATCCTAATACAAAGACAACTCCAAAAACTACTTCAAACAGGCCGTATGTAATCAGCCTCAAGCAGTTGTCCCTTGGGCTCGGTAGTCACACAGTACTAATGCTTTCTTTGTTTTAGGTACCCTAAGGAGTTAGTCAATTGAAGATAAAATGAAAATTCGATCTATGATATGTTCTGAAATCAATCATCCTCACTCAGTTTATACATTACTAGGTTAAAATTTTGAGTCTTGAAGGAAACAGCCAATTTTCATCAGTCATATGAAGCCAAAAGGAAGCTTTGTGATAAACATTGTTGGTTGATTTTCTCGCCAAAACATACAACCCACTGGAAGTACTAAAATGCTCTTGATAGAGGAAGAGCCACACAGAGAGAAAGAAAAAGAGAGAGAGGAAGGGAAAGACGTAAAGTAAAAGCGAAACTTGGCAATTCTGATTGATTACAAGCAGAAGAATATAAACATAATAATAATAATAATAACAACAATAATAATAATTCAAAAAGTTACGAGTAACTAAGATATATGTATATATACTTCAAGAAAACGTCTTGCTTGAGTGTGTCTGTGCGCTTACGTGTGCGTGTGTGTGTCAGTGAGTGAGTGAGTGTGAGTTTACAACTGAGGTATTTGCATTTAATCTACACGATTAGTGCTAGTCTAGTCTATTTATACTTATACATACATACATACATATATGAATGTATACACATAGACATGTTTGCACTTACAAAGGCATTCTATGTTCAGATGCTAGTTAGTTAGTACTGCGCGTCGGTGGTTCACTGGTAGAATGCTCATCAGTTACGCCACATATATGTTTCCAGTTCGATTCCCAGCCGACGCACTTGTAAACCTCACTAAGCCGACAGTAAGCTTGTTATGAGGGACTAGATGAGGTTGACAACCACCCTGAAACTTCAAGCCTTATATTCTACTGGGAACGCAAAGGAATGAAGAAAAATTCTTAGTACTAGTATTGATTATCAGTATGAAAATACAAATACTCGCGTACTGTTCTGTTATAACTTTGTATTGTTCAATACTGTTCCAGATGATGATGATGATGGTGCCTCTGACGATGATGACAGTATTTTAGGAGCTGTAAGGCTTCCTCACGTTACCCTTTTGTGGACAACAACGCCAGTTTCACTGTATGTAGTGATGATGATGATGTTGGTGTTTTCAACAAATTCAAAGATCATCTTTCTAAACTGAATAGTCAACGAACTAACTAAATAAGCTAAGCTAAGCTAAGCCAAGCTAACTAACCACCCATCCAGATAGTTAACTAACAGATTGTATTTAGCAAGTTAATGAATCAACTGAATATAAAAAATCGTCGATGAAAGCATACTCAACTAAATGAAAAATGAAAAATAGAAAAACAAACACGTAGTAACAAGCAAGTAGAAAGAAAGAGGAGGTGATTGTCTACAAGGATTCCTAAATATGTATTCAAGAGTCTACGTCTCAGAGGCTCAGCATCAGTTATCAGCCGCATAGCTTGGTACCTAGCTGATCACAGGACACCAGATCAAGCAATATAATGGAATCTTTTAAGATGGTAGACAGACAAGTTAAGTATTTCAGTTCTAACCACAAACTGACTTCAGTTAGAGAACCTTTAAATAAGGGGGGGAGTAATGGACATTTGTTTCGTCACAGATAACATTGGCTAGCGGTCGCCCTAAATCGCGAATTGACAGAAGTAACTGAATAATCAACGAGTTTGCCTTGTTATCTAGAGGTCCCTGGTCCGTCCCTGGTTGGTGGGGCCATGGGTGCGTACTACTGAAGGGTCACAAACTGGGATGAAATAGGTGTCCAGTACTTCCCGGTTCTCAACGGGTTCTCTAACTGACATCAATTCGTGATAAAAACTTAAAATTAATCGAATTCCTGCAAACCAACACTTGAAAGGTGAATATTTGTTCGACAATTTTGAGTTAACTCTTTTGTAACCGGTAATAATAGAATTCACTTTCTCTCTCTGTCCCCCTCTTTTTCCCATCTATCATCTACTTTATGCCACATATCTTCTCCATCATAGTTACAGTAATGGAATTTCTAATCTGTTCTCACAATCACAATAAAACAATTTCCACCTCCGATTGGCAGTTGGGAAGTTTGAAGTATATTGTATATAAGAAACCACACCAACAATGTCAATCATACCTGATACATGTAAATATTCAAAGTGACGTTTATGTCCAAGTGACAAATTTTAATTGGTAGACAACGTATTGCTATCGTACATATCAATCTTCAAAGCTTATAACATATAATCAAACTACTTATATCAACCAGTTGGTAGTATATACTGTCATGCATTTATACTTGAATTTCATGATTGTCATTATGGTATTAAGCAGATCATATATAATTTAATCTAAATAATTTCGGCTACTGTAGTGACATGTCTACCTCGAACTGTGTAAATAACAAACTGCGAATTAGAGTAAGCCTGCTTCAAACTGCTAGTCAGTTTGTCCGAAAACGAGTAGAACACAACAAATCGTCTAGTGCTTTTCATGGTTGATAATGTCTAGTGGTGGATTCGAAGATAAGAGTTTCTTCCCATATTCGAGCCTTGTCTGTTGGCTGTACCTACTACATCTCAATGAGTCGTCGTGTCCAGCCGCCACCCCACCCCCATTCCTGAGGAGCGAATCAAAACACTAAAGCATCACGAGAACCACGTTTTGTGCAACACAGGTATCAGCTGTTATTTGAATAAAGTTGCTTTGACAAAACTCCTCCCCCCTCCCTCCCCTCCGCGGGATTCTACAGTCAGCCACTATTTAACCAAATAAACATGGGATCAATGGCGAAGTGTCTGTGATAAAAGAGCCGACATAATCAACAGACACCAAACATCTCGATTTGGTTAAATTACTCAGAAAGGAAATTAAAAAATAACTTCAGTAGATGGCATAACTTCTGATATCTACCATCACTATAAACTACATCAGTGAATTAAGCATATAGATCAACGCGAGTGGTTTCTATCTACTGATATTGTCTATTACTATTATTATTTTCAGGAGTTTGGTTTGTAAGGATTAGATCTGTTTATATGAGTTTGACCACGGATTGATATCATTATCATTATTAACTATAATCTCAACAAAAAGCACTAAACTTAATGGCAGTATCTCTGACAGTAAGAATCATAATACGGGAGAATATGAATCAAAATATGAAGAAGAACAAAAAAGACACTTTATCAATACTGCAAACAGGTTATCTACTGATGAGTACTCAAAGGTATTATGCAACGCTAGATTTACTTGTCTATTAATAACACAAACGATATCTAAAAATTGTTTCAATCTTAAACTATATATATAAATATATCATAAGTGAAGAACGTACCAGAGGCTTTTTCCAAACTGTCAGTTGTTTTATTCTGTTTTTCTAACTCCCCACCAGACAATTCATGATTTAAAGATAATTTAGCCTGATCTCTACTCTTTGTTCCACTGGGTAACTTCATTGCTGGTAGAGGAACTGTTGGCGGTATTGGTAATGCAGATGTAGGCGTAGGTGCAGGTGTTGTTGTTGCACTTGTTAGTAAACTGCTTACTTCCTCTGGTCTTGTATCGAATCTACGTTGTTTTGCTGTTTTATCAAATGGTGTTATGAGATTTGTCGGGGGAGAAGAGTCGAAAAATGCCGTCGCACCACCACCACCACCACCTCCACTACTGTTCGTAGTTCTTGGAAGCCAAGAGATAGGTGGAGAATTGGATAAACCGGAAGCAGCAACAGCTGCAGCCGCAGCAACTGCCATAACAGCAGCAGCAGGATTAGAGGATGCTGACTGGTCTGTTGTTGTTATTGTTGTTGGTATTTGATGGCCACCAACACCACCAGCAGCTGGAGCAGCAGGATGTGTTGACATACCGGTAATTTGATTCTGTAGACTTGAAACACTCGATAACAAGGCTGCAGCTGCACTAGCTATTAATGCTGGATGACATGAATTCGATGATGGTTGAACAGGTAACTTTTCTGTTGAATTCAATGTTGCTGATGGTGGTGATGAGGCTGATGTACAATCATTAGGATTAGTTGGGAATACCGGTAGAGTAGGGGATAAATTATTGTTATTTGATATTTGACTTGTCAATGCATTCGATGCAAAAGTATCTAACCCTGAAGGACCTGAAGTTGACCAACGTGATGCCAGTGCATGCACTGCGCTTCGTCTATGATGTAAAGGTAAATCACGTAGCATAGACATCGCACAATCTGAAACAAGCATTTGATCTGTACACCATGATTCAGCTGTACTAGTTGCTGTAGTACACACTGGACTACATTGTAAAAGACCATCACCACGATAAACTGGATTTAAACTTTGATTTTGTGTTTCATATAATGAGGCTGAAAAAAATGACAAATAATGAGTAACGAGAATGAGATATACTATGAACATGTGTAAGTATTTGAAGATCACCTTTACAAATAATAAACTAATTACATTTATTTTTTGTTTACGCTATTTTGTATTTCTCGTTGCTGATTGATTTTTATTGGACCAGAAAAACCGATCTCCAGTGACATATGAGCTCCTGGTAAGGATGATTCATTGATTTGTGACAGTTAATATGATGTTATTTGGCTGATGTTTGCCTAACAGTGAAATCCAACACTCGCCTTTTTTCGTCTTATTTGGAAAGTGATCAGATGGATGTACCTGATTGTTCAGTGTGTGATGACATAATCTCTGAGACTCGAACTCAACATCCCTTGTTCCATACACTAAAGTGAGCATTTCAGTGTAATGCAAATCAGTCAACCATGGGAAATATAAAATAACCTATGCAGACAATAACTAGCACCTGCTGTACAATAAGTGGTTTTCGTGACCCTCTGGAAAGTGGTTTGAAGCTTGAAACATTGGGTGCAGTGTTCCAGTCTTGGTAGGAGGTAGCATCACCATTCACTATGGGGTGTGGACGCAGGTACATCCAGCTCGCGAGACCAGGATAGGATGAAATACACATCCTGGGTTGAAATATCAGCCCCCATCAGTTGAATGAAATATAGTTAGGAGGATGACAAATTCCACTTAGTTTAGGTAAAGGATGTGATGTATAGCTTGTGTGCAAAGTTATTCAACACCAACTTTCATTTTATGAATAATTTCTCGAAAGAATATTCCTCACAACATAAGCGTTCACATGAACAAAAAATACAAAACTGGATGGAGACTATCCCACCTAATACAGAAACAGCCTCATTACAAATTTCCATGACGCATTGGTCAGTTACTAGGGAGTTCTTTTAAGGTCTCCCTACAGGATGTCAGTTGCACCGTGAATAGCTCGGTGGTAAAATCACTGACTGTAACAGTGACTGCAGCGAGGTTGAATCTCAGAGGTGGAAAAATCAATCCATTGCTACGCCTTGCCAGTAAGAACAAGACCAACTGTCCAAGACTTCATGGTAACTGCCTCTAACAGCCTAACGTCAGTTTCCACTGCAAAATAGAGATCCAACGTGACTTCGATTTTCAGATACTGTTAGAATGAGGTTGTAAACGCTTTACTGACAGCATAAAAAATTGGGTAATTTCTTCGAGTTATTGAGAAATACGCCTAATTCACTGACGGTTTCCTTTAACAAAATCAAATTCATTGAAACATCAATCGAAACCAGATAAAAAGCCAAAATGTTTAAAACTAGGGAATAAAGTAATTGAAAGTCATATTAACTGTTGCACTTAATCAAGAGTTTTCATCAGCCTAAGGCGAAATTCCAGTACAAGTGCACTGAGATCAGTTTTTGATATCTATCAAAATGTGTTATCTCAAATTTCTATATTCTGTCTAACCCTATAGCTGAGAAATGATTTCTGAAACTAAAAGGTACAAAAAGGTCACTGTCGATGTGAATTCGGTTCTAAACGCGTCATTTAGCGAATCATTGAAAACCATGGAATGCTGTATTGTTGTCTCATCTTAGACTCTTTGGCAATGTGCACCGATGACATCAAACCCAGGATCTTCATGTTGAAAGACTAGTCAGTTGACCAACCACCCACCCAGTCATCAGGTCAGAATCTAGTGACCCTGGAATTCAGACTTCTGTCATATTTTTGATGATTTCCACCGGCTTTTTAAACTGATATCGACTTGCGACGAAATCTACATTGAAAAGGTGAGCTATCATGTTGACAGTGAGACTCAAACCCGCCACCTACCTTCTCAAATGCCAAAGTGTTATCCTACTAGGCCACTTGCGCCACTCATCAATTTCCTTGAAATCATCTCTGAGAAATGCTGGTTCAAATCCTCCTCTACGATCTAAATTAACATTTCACCTTCAATCACCACACCCTTTAACATTAAACAACCCCCAAAAAGGTATTTCAGATAACCTTATCAATAAAAATGGTTAACACAGAGTCAACTTACATGATTCTATATCTGACTTCTCAGTTAATTCCATTGTCCCATTTGCCATAGAGTTGATTGTGGCATCTAAATGTCCATTATTTGTGCTCCAATTAAATGCACCTAGTGGAAGCATCGATTGAACATTAGCGGTACACCTTGGCACACATGTAGAGACAGTAGGATTGTTTCCAGTAGAAGCAACAACACTAGTTGAACCAACAGATGGCCAATCGAAGGGAGAAGAACAAGACGAAGTAGTACTACGTGCTCGACTAACTAAATGTCGAACCATTGCATTTAAACGTTGGGATTCCTTACGTACCTGTGTATATATAAACGGGTGAATAAATAAAACAGTATGATATAAGTCTTACTATAACTTATGAGTTATCAATATGAATCAACGAGTCAGTGTCCCTTTGTGACCGTATTTAGACTGAACAAAAACCTTAACAACTGTTGATTATGTTCTAAAAAGTTGTATAACTCAAAATTATGATAGTATGACAACACGAAGAACTACCAGAATATTTAGACTGGAGCTCCAAGGTGGGTAGATTAACTACAGAGCTTTTATTTTCCTTCTTCTAGACAACATCTCCAGGGCTTAATTAAGTGTGTGTGAAATAAGATTTTACAATCTTCCATGGATAACATAACAGTCTGTCTTGATGACCATGACTGCTGAGACTGATTACCTTGACTGTATTTTCTTTTTATGAATGGACTAAGATGCTATTCACTTGCTGCCTAGACGCTCAACTTCCAGCCACTGAATTACAAATTCGAACCCCTATCATCAACAAACAAAGATTTCAGTGGTCAGAAAGTATTAATTATTAGCCATCAGATAACTGTTGCTGTTTACCAGCTTCATAGATATACAAGTATTCGTTGAATAACATTCCTTCCGTTAGGTGCTATGTGGTGCTGGATTTTACTTTCAAGTATTGATTTGTAGGAATTTGATTGACTTGAAGTTTGATCATCAGCCGACACTTCATTTAGAGGAACACTGAAAACTACAGAGTATACTCTAGAGCTGTTTCGTCCTCAAAGTTTGGAAGTCTTAATAAGCAATACTCATTTATGATCTCACTCTAGGGATAGATTTTCATAAAAAAAAGAAACCACCAGTGACTAAGTTTGAGAACATATCCAGGCGATAAATCGTTAAAAAAAAAAGAAGTAGAAATATAGAAACCATGGATTCTACTGACTAGATACCTTCCATTAAAAAGAAAGAAATATTATGTACATAGGCTTGTGATAACCTTGTTATTTAAACACGGCGGATGTGCGTGTCAGTGTTTTCCACTCACACGACTTTATTCAGTACTGATGTCAGTCAAATATAAACACAAAAAAAGTAAGAAAGAAAACTTAATGGTAGGAACACTTCTGGTGAGTATTAGAAGTGGATTCAGGTGTTGTGTAAATCAATCAGAGCCATCTCTGGTGTTTTGTTTTTCAAGAAAATATAACCCTATGTTATAAGAAATTTCTCTTTTTTGTCAGTAGTTTAAGGCAGTTGGTAGGATGCCTTGGTACTAGGGTTCCATGCTTATTGACACTTATCAGGATGTGGTATCTACAGTTCTGAAAGAGGTAACGTAACCTCTGAGATTCATTCAATTTAATCCATCCCCTCACCCCATTATTCAGAATTCTTGCAGAAGATATTGCTCTATGAGGAATGTACTGGCTTGAAATGTTATCTCAATCGATGCAGTCTCACAACCTCATCTATTGACTTGCCCTGTCCCCGTTACCTAACACTACGTTTAGCCTCGATAATATTCACCATATTAAACCAATTAACACGGGAGATAGAACTCAAACATCTTTGGTTGAAGACAGCTAGTCCCTTCAGATCTTCCATTTGCAATGGCTACATCTCACAGTCATAAAGAAAGACAAAGTGAACTACTGCTTAGTACATACATCCTTCGATTGGTAGCGAAATAGCGCAGGTCGATGCCACAGACGACATAAGTTGACAAATATCACACAAGCCTTTTGTATCCTTGTTGAGATCTCGTCAGATGGGTCTGATGCAACTTCTCAAAATAAGTGAAGTGGTTAACACACTCAGCTACTTCATTCTCTCCATCTTTATACAAGGAGTAAATACAAACCAAGCACACTAAAATCCAGGACGTTGAGGTTACCACTCAGTGCCCCCTCATCCTTCCCAAGTTTTATTTGACTCTTCTACTGACTGATGTCAGTTGGTAATAATGAAATCTACCTTGGAATAATAGTTTTACTACTGAATAAAAAGACAGGAATTATGAATAGATCAAACTTACTGTTCTTAAGTACAACTCTAAACGTGATGCGCATACTTCTACTTGAGCAAGTGCTTGTAGCGATAATTGATGAGTCCTATTCAAATGTCTACAAATGAATAAGCGGAAAAAAGGGGGGGAAATGATGAGAATTTAATTAACAGAAAGTTGATACTAGATGTTTGAAGACAGTCGGCAGGAAGCCTTGGATCTAGGTTTCGTGTTAGTTGGCATTCACCAGTGGGACCGTTAGCCTCCCGTCCTGTCTACATTGGCTGACCCTAATAAGATAAGAAATCTGGAGAATAGCTCAGCTATAGCACTACATGCAATTACACACAACTTTAAAATAGGATGGGATAAGATGACAGCTTTAACAGGGTGGAGGGAGAGATTGATAACAGAAGCTTCATTTACCGAATCAACTGATAGAGAATATGTGTAATAGAAAGGAATCAACACCTGTCCACCTGGACATCTGGAAAATTCTGCTACTCCTACGACCAATAGAAAGGAATGAAGGAAACTGTGAAACGAAAGTTTCTAAATTGTTTAGTTATAACTGATATGATTGTGTGAATAATAAATTGTGTTCGGAACTTCATCCAATAACTAATATGGAATTTCTTGATCCATCACCCAAACACACACATACAGTCGAATTCATTTGTTCTTCAACTAACAAATACACATACAGGTCGCTTGCCTATCAATTATTTGGTCAAGTGTGCATAACCTAATTAGTGTAGGTGTGATTTCTTGAGAGAAAACTAGAAACAAACCGTCTTTCTTCGCCTTATCTACCTGTACGCATACCACATACGCACACGCATACACAAATATGTTGTTGTATCCCTAAAGTGGGATACTCACAACAAAACGAAAAAGCATACAAACAAATTATTATTCATAGATAAACAACAAACAAGCAAACAAACAAATCAACTTGACCTTGACCTGAAAATCATTCTAGCCGTTGTGATTTGTCTGTCTAGACAGACAGCTGTGTGTGCGTGTGTAGGGCAGACAGAGAAATGACGCAAACTGGTTTCAGACCATCCTTTCATCCATCCATTCATTCTATGTTTATTTATGACTAATTAACTAAATGGCTGTCAACTAGTTATAGACATTTCGTTCTTTATTTTGTCTAAAATGCCTCCATAAATAAATACCGACCGAAAATTGTTAGTTTTCATATCACTATAAAGAAGAAAGTCGGTGAAAGTTTTGTAGTGGATAAAATTGAACCTAATCATTCACAGTGTGCTGGTGGTTCAGAGGTAGAATGCTCCCCAAGCGAGTAATCGAGGGCTTGACCCCCAACCAACGAATTCCTGAACCTCACTTAGCCAGCAATGAGCCTGACAGAGAGAGGGGAAGTTGAACGGGAGGTTAACAGTCCCACCCCCGTAAAAGAAACACTACTCCTACTGAAACTTCAAAGCTCAAACCTGAAGCCTTATGTCCCACTCGAAATGCAAAGGAGTAAATGATGGTTCACATAGGGGAACATTCATTAAGTTAGGGGTTACTATTTTTTCCTCATTTCTCGTATACTATTCAGCCACTGGGACTGATATCAATCCGTGGTCAAACTGGAAAATGCAAATCTAATCCTTATAAACCAAATCTTGAAAATAAACAAGTTCATTCTTTTCGTCAGTGGCTTAGTGGCAGGATGCGGCGCACATTTCTACACCACTGCCACTAAAACTTGAAGGCTCAAGCTTGGAGCCTTTTGTTCCACTTTAACGCAAAGGAAAAGAAAAAAATCCTTTTCGTTTAATTTAATTTGCGTTTTCTATTGATTGGTTATGTTGCAGTGAAACATTCGGTCTCTGTTGACTTGCTGGCATCTAGTACCTATGATCAAACGATGTCTGAAGATTAACCTAATGTTATTTTCGTTGAGACGACCACTAGTAGAATCCCGGACGCATATTTCATCGTATTTGGGACTTGCCAACTAGATATACCTGTATCCCTCCTCACGGTGACTGACAGTATTCCCACTGAGAGTCGAACTCCCCATTTCAAGTGCCAAGACATCAGGCCACAAGAGCCACTTATGTATTAGGTATCAGTTATTATTTGTCCAAGTAAATTTAAATTCCCCGTTCATCGATTACGTTGGACCAAAATGGTCGGTCCCTGTTGGTATTTGAAAGGATGGAGATAGGATTTGAGTCTCAGCGGGAACACGATCACTCTCATTGAAGAGCTGCGTATAATCCAACTGACGAGTCCCACATGATGTGAAATGCACATCCTGGATTCCATTGCTAGTTATCATCAAACAAAGTTCCTTTTAATGTTAGCTGCCATCACACTGTACTCTTAGCTACTTCGTTAAACTATGCTTTCAATGATTAGTTTCTGCTCATTAATTATATGTGTATATTTTTGTAGAGTGTTGATAGGTGAAGAGAAGCCTCAAAACGAAAATGTGTGTACAATTCATACTATAAATCGTATTCTTATTGAGTTAATGTAAGTGATCAAAAGGAATATACGATGCTTAAAATTTTTTATTATTATTCCCCTGTGTTCTTAGTGGAACAACTCCATTTAACTTTGTTATCTGAAGTCGCTCTTAGCCGACGTCATAACTGCCCATAAGCTTTCATTTCTTCGTCACATATGATCTCCCCCCCATGTTACCCTCAGATTCATCCCAAACACTTATCGTTTCCCCTTCGAGTTCCACTTTAAGGCCTGGTGTGTGTGATGTCCCTTGATGGCCTTCTCAGCGTATGTCCAGTCAATCTTCATTTCTTTGCGCATATCTATGATGTGACAGATTGTTAGTTGGTTCGTTGCTTATCAGAGTCCCCTGTTGCTAATCCTTTCCCATCAACCAGTCATCTGCTCTTCAGCATAGAACGAAAGTAACTGTTGATAAAAGTCTTCGGCGGCCTAATAGAAATGTTTTTCGTAAGGTGTGCGCCAAGTCTTTGAACCATGTACGAACACTAACTAGACACTATCTAGTGTCCTATTCCTTGCGCTAAGTGCAGCAGATTTCCTGACTAATTTTAGAATAATGACGGTTTGTTTTGCTATTCCAATCATTTAACCTTCCTATCTGTAAGGTGACTTCTACCATATTTTGTCTCGTTGATGGTGACTGACGTTTACTGTCGTTGCTAGTCCAGTCTCTTCATTATCTCTATCTTCTCTATGTTCACTTGAAGTTCTATCTTCACTGCCTACCTCTTCTGCTAACTTGTTGGTTTTCACCTCATCCTCTTCGAGTTTGTGGATGACATAAATCAGACTTGGAAGACCATATCTTCTATAGTCTTTCTGTCAGTTCAATGTATGTCTGTCTTCTCGGCTTCTACCCCCCCCCCGCCCCAACCACTGCCATCACTACCATGCGCTCATGATCTGCCGCCACATGATCAAGTTTATTTGTATCAATATCACAGAAGAAAAAAAACTTCTTGATTAAGATAAATTTTTTTAAAGATTATTATGGCTACAATGTTGTCTTCTGTTTTGTTGTTGTTGTTCTTGTTGTCATAAGTTGAATGATGCACAAACACACACGCACACGCATACGCACATGCTAAAAATGAATGACACTTTCACATATCATGCTGCATAATAAATACATGCACTCACCCTCTTCTTCACTAGTCAGAAAGATAAATGTCTGGTGGTTATCTCTATTTCTTTTGGTTGTTTAGGTTTTCAATGCTTCTGATATGTAAACTATACACAATTATGTTTGTTTGTCTTACAGTGAAAAAAAGAAAAGACAAATTGTTTTTCTCAAGTTCCATCTCTGATCGCATGTATATGTATGCGTAACTGAATACTGTATTTATTATTCTACTGATCGGATACTGTGAGATAGTTTACGCACACACACACACACACACACAACAAACACGTGATGATATTGTTTCATTATGCGCATAATCGACTAAATCAAGATGGCGTTGAAACTTATTAGAAGGAAATTTCTTTTCATCAAAACAACTGCTTCTTTTATAAAATAAAGACGATACGAATGACAAGAAGTCTCGGTTTGAATTTTGAAACTAGTCGTTTGGTTGCAATTATCAGGGATTAAGTGGGCCAGTGGGAGGAGGCGCTTCTATATGCTCCGGAGACTTGGTGTACGCATGCCATCAAAAGTCATTTCCAACAGCCTACAGCAGATCTTTATCAACAGTTGCTCCCTTCTCTCAATGATAATGAAGATCAGATAAGCAAGCAGTAGGAACTCTTACAAACAACGAATCAGCCAAGAACCAATTACCTAACAAATATGCAAAAGGAGGTGGAGACCTACTGGCTCTTAGTGCCTATAATCAAACGATGTCCGAAGATTAACATAATATTATTTTCGTTGAGACGGCCACCAGTAGAATCCCGGACGCACATTTCATCGCATTTGGGACTTACCAACTAGATATACCTGTATTCCCCCTGTTCCCACCATACATTGAGAAAACTTTCAAGTGACATTCCATGCCACTCCCTCTTAGCGTGGTAAGCGACACTTTCGGCAACGAAGAATCACGTTCAGAAGATCATGTGAAGAATAAATGAAGGCGTGTCGGCAGTCGTAAAGCCAGTTCAAAGTAATGGAGATGTAGTGCTCCAGTCGTATGTCCCATTGGAAACTCAAGGGATGAACAATAACAATAATAATAATATATGCTGGACTACACAAAATAGTATCAGTTAGAAAACCAAGGAAAATTAAAGACTATTGGATTGTATACAACTCTGGTTTCAAAATCTTTAGTAGTTGATAAACAGTTCTGAGGAGGTCCAAACCCAGATAATATATAACGTTGCGTATTGAGACTGTTATTATTAAGCCAAATGAGGCAACCTTCTATGAGTATTAACCTCAGTCAATAAGTAAGGCAGTTTGGTCAGTCGAAGAGATTGTGCTACTTTATCGATTGAAGAGAAAGACGTATGCTATAAATGTCAACCTACTTCGCAATTCAGTGCCAGCTGAAGTAGAGTTTAGGCTAGAAAATTGTTAGAAGTGTGCTCATGTGACACCATCATGCCATCAAACCATGAAGTCATAGACTGTCAACTTTAGCGTAGTTGTAGTCACAAGGATGTTGCTAAGCA